CCTACTAAAAAAAAAAGTTATTGTTTAATAAATAAAATATCAAAAAACTATTCTAATACAACTCGATCTTCTCTTAATAATGACTTATTATTATGGTTCAAAGTTTAAACATGTGCAAAGACTCAAGTTCTGGTCTTCGTAAGGAGGCGTAGGTTCGAACCCCACTACTCACGTAGTTCCACATCTATCAGCGACCACTTCTCTTCTTTAACTTCTTGTCTTTCTCTACATTAGTAAACGCTGCGTTCTAGATGATGGATATAATTGTTGCAACTTCAAGTTGTTCTTAGGAATGCATTCAAATTATCATGCCAAATAAATTGAAGCAAGTTAAATCTAAAAAAAAAACTATAACTATTCTTGCCTAAGTATGTTATTAAACATTATCATGGATGGTTTTCTTGCCAAATGAGTATATAGATGGTCCAATTCATGACATAAATAAAGTCAAATTCAAATAAATTCCTTATCTATAAAGTATTTTTTACTTTATATCAAAATTATTTATTTTTTGCTTGTGCCAAACACCTTAAAAACATTTCTACATTGCATCTACCTAAACTACTATATTAAAAACTTAGTAAAACATCATTATTGTATTATAAAACTCTAATTTCAATTCAAAGTATCTATCTATAAATAAGTCATTACTTTAATTGATTGACATTGTTCATAGATCTTGTTCATCTTAAATACATGCTTCATTTTTAAGACACTTAACGTCATGACCTCTTTGCACCTACTTACCTTATTTTTATTTCAAGAATTTCATAAATTCATACTAAAAAAAAATGTCATTGTCTTAATATATAAAATATCAAAAAACTATTCTAATACAATGCATTCTTCTCTTAATAATGACTTATTATTACGGTTCAAAGTTTAAATATGTGCATAGACTCAAATTTTGGTCTTTATAAGGAGGTGTGGGCTAGAACCCCACTACAGACATAGTTCCAAATCTATCATTGACCACTTCTCTTCTTTTACTTCTTGTCCCTCTCTACGTTCATAAATGCCACGTTCTAGATGATGCATACAATTGTTAGAACTTCAAATTGTTCTTAGGGATGTATTCAAATTATCATGCCAAATAAATTGAAGTAGGATAAATCTAAGAAAAACACTATAACTATTCTTGCCTAAATGTGTTATTAAATATTATCATGGATGGTTTTCTTGCCAAATGAGTATATAGAGGGTCAAATTCATGACAAAAATAAAGTCAACTTCAAATAAGATCCTTATCTTGAAAGTATTTTTTACTTTACATCAAAATCACTTCTTTTTTTTAGTATGAAGTTATGAAATTCTTAAAAGAAAAGTATCGTAAGAAGGTGCAAAGTGGTCATGACCTTAAGTGTCTTAAAAATGAAGCATGTATTTAAGATGAAGAAGATCTTTTAACAATGTCAAGCAATTAAAGAAATGGCTTATTTATAGATAGATACTTTCAATTACAATTAGAGTTTTATAATACAATAATGATATTTTACTAAGTTCTTAAGATAGTAGTTTAGATAGATGTAATTTAGAAATATTTTTAGGGTGTTTGGCAAAAGCAAAAAAATAAATGACTTTGATGTAAAAGTAAAAAATACTTTGAAGTTAAGGAATTTATTTGAATTTGATTTTTTTTGTCATGAATGTGACCATCTATGTATTCATTTGGCAAGAAAACCATCCATGATACTGTTTGATAACACATTTAGGTAATAATAGTCTAGTGTTTTTCTTAGATTTAACTTGCTTCAATTTATTTGGCATGATAATTTGAATATATCCCTAAGAACAACTTGAAGTTGCAACAATTACATCCATCATCTAGAATGCGGTGGTTACAAATGTAGAGAGGGGCAAGAAGTTAAAGAAGAGAAGTGGTCAACGATAGATGTGGAACTATGTCTGTAGTGGGATTCTTGCCCACGCCTCCTTACCAAGACCAGAACTTAAGTCTATGCACATATTTAAATTTTGAACCGTAATAAAAAGTCATTATTAAAAAAAGTATGCATTGTATAAGAATAGTTTTTTGATATGTTATTTATTAAGACATTGACTTTTTCTTTTAGAATGAATTTATGAAATTCTTAAAGTAAAAATAAAGTAAGTAGGTGCAAAGTGGTCATGACCTTAAGTGTCTTATAAATGAAGCATGTATTTAAGATGAACAAGATCTATGAACAATATCAAGCAATTAAAGAAATGGCTTATTTATAGATAGATACTTTGAAGTGCAATTAGAGTTTTATAATATAATAATGATGTTTTAATAAGTTTTTAATATAGTAGTTTAGGTAGATGCAGTGTAGAAATGTTTTTAAGGTGTTTGGCACAAGCAAAAAATTAATGATTTGGATGAAAAAGTAAAAATTACTTTAAAGATAAGGATCTTATTTTCATTTGACTTTATTTATGTCATGAATTAGACCATCTATATACTCATATAGCAAGAGAACTATCCATGATATTATATAATAATTCATATAAGAAATAATAGTTATAGTATTTTTCTTAGATTTAACCTGCTTCAATTTATTTGGTATGATAATTTGAATACATCCCTAAGAACAACTTGAAGTTGCAACAATTATATCCATCATCTAGAAGGCAACGTTTACGACCGTAGAGAGGGACAAGAAGTTAAAGAAGAGAAGTGGTCACTGATAGATGTGGCACTATGTCAGTACTGGAGTTCGAACGAACCCCCTTTTGAACACCAAAACTTGAATCTATGCACATGTTAGAACATTGAACCGTAATAATAAGTCATTATTAAGAAAAAAAAGAGTTGTATTAGAATAGTTTTTTGATATTTTATTTATTAAGACAATGACTTTTTTTTTTTTAGTATGAATTTATAAAATTCTTAAAATAAAAGTATAGTAAGTAGGTGCAAAGTGGTTATGACCTTAAGTGTCTTATAAATGAAGCATGTATTTAAGATGAACAAGATCTATGAACAATATCAAGCAATTAAAGGAATGGCTTACTTATAGAAAGATACTTTGAATTGCAATTAGAGTTTTATAACACAATTATGTTGTTTTACTTAAATGTTAAAATAGTAGTTAAAATAGATGCAATGTAGAAATGTTTTTAAGGTGTTTGGCACAACAAAGAATAAATGATTTTGATGTAAAAGTAAAAAACACTTTGAAGATAAGGAATTTATTTGCATTTGAAGTTCAAGAAGAGAAGAGATCACTGATAGATGCGGAACGATGTCAGCAGTGGGGTTCGAACCCACGCCCCCTTACGAAGACTAGAACTTGAGTCTATGCTCATGTTTAAACTTTGAACCGTAATAATAAGTCATTATTAAGAGAAGAATGAGTTGTATTAGAATAGTTTTTTGATATTTTATTTATTAAGACAATGACCTTTTTTTTTTTAGTATGAATTTATGAAATTCTTAAAACAAAAATAAAGTAAGTAGGTGCAAAGTGGTCATGACCTTAAGTGTCTTAAAAATGAAGCATGTATTTAAGATGAACAAGATCTATGAACAATGTCAAGCAATTAAAGGAATGGCTTATTTATAGATAGATACTTTGAATTGCAATTAGAGTTTTATAACACAATAATGATGTTTTACTAAGTTGTTAAAATAGTAGTTTAGGTAGATGCAATGTAGAAATGTTTTTAAGGTGTTTGGCACAACAAAGAATAAATGATTTTGATGTAAAAGTAAAAAACACTTTGAAGATAAGGAATTTATTTGCATTTGAAGTTCAAGAAGAGAAGAGATCACTGATAGATGCGGAACGATGTCAGCAGTGGGGTTCGAACCCACGCCCCCTTACAAAGACTAGAACTTGAGTCTATGCTCATGTTTAAACTTTGAACCGTAATAATAAGTCATTATTAAGAGAAGAATGAGTTGTATTAGAATAGTTTTTTGATATTTTATTTATTAAGACAATGACCTTTTTTTTTTTAGTATGAATTTATGAAATTCTTAAAACAAAAATAAAGTAAGTAGGTGCAAAGTGGTCATGACCTTAAGTGTCTTAAAAATGAAGCATGTATTTAAGATGAACAAGATCTATGAACAATGTCAAGCAATTAAAGGAATGGCTTATTTATAGATAGATACTTTGAATTGCAATTAGAGTTTTATAACACAATAATGATGTTTTACTAAGTTGTTAAAATAGTAGTTTAGGTAGATGCAATGTGGAAATGTTTTTAAGGTGTTTGGCACAACAAAGAATAAATGATTTTGATGTAAAAGTAAAAAACACTTTGAAGATAAGGAATTTAAAACACTTTGAAGATAAGGAATTTATTTGCATTTGAAGTTCAAGAAGAGAAGAGATCACTGATAGATGCGGAACGATGTCAGCAGTGGGGTTCGAACCCACGCCCCCTTACGAAGACCAGAACTTGAGTCTGGCGCCTTAGACCACTCGGCCATGCTGACTTGTCTTCCGCTGATGTGCTGTCGCAGCTCAAAGCCGCGTACTATCGCTTCAATAGTATTCTTCAAGGGCACGAGAACTCATGTAGACAGGTTGATGCCCTGACGCTAACATCAACGACTGACGCGTCGGGGGAAGCCGAATGTTCGGAATGGGCAGGGCTCATTCATCCCATCCCAAGCCCCAGGCTCCAAAGCGAACTTGGGGAGCTGAGGGAGAAGGGGGCATTATCCACAAGCAAGCCCCCCAGAGACAGCAGAATACGACGACGAGGGCCAGGAACACTCTTCCGTCTCACCAGCCCTGCGCTTTTCTGGAGCATTCCAAAGCCCCATGAAAGCCCAAAACCCACCTCCCACCCTGCAGCGCGTCTCCCCAATCCCCTCCTCAATCTTCGTATCCTTCGATTAGGTCGGATTCCTCCTCTGTCTGCTTCACATTCTCGCATTCTGTCGTCTTCACTCCAATTCTCCGCTCCCCCTCCTCCTTCCTTCGCATTGTAGCGCGTCCGCATTCGCATTCGCATTCGCATCCGCATCGCTATTGCAGTTTGGATTCAATCCACCGCCATGGCTGCCCAGGTTGGAATGGCTCTCAACGCCCAGACCTGCAAATTGGCCTCCTTTCAGGGCCTCAGGGCTACCCCCGCGCGCTCTGCCCAGCTCAACCCTAGCCAGGTCTCCTTCACTGCCCCCTCCCGCAGCAGGTGCGTCGCCGTGCGCGCTGTCGCGGCCGTGGCGCCCAAGTTCGCCACGCTCAAACCCCTGGGCGACCGCATCCTCGTCAAGATTCAGACCGTGGAGGAAAAGAGCTCGGGCGGCATCCTGCTGCCCACCACGGCGCAGACCAAGCCCCAGGGCGGGCAGGTGGTGGCCGTGGGCGACGGCAAGTCGCTGGGCGACAAGAAGCTGGAGCCCGCGGTGAAGACGGGCGCGCAGATCGTGTACTCCAAGTACGCGGGCACGGAAGTGGAGTTCAACGGCGAGCCGCACCTCCTGCTCAAGGAGGACGACGTCGTGGGTCTGCTGTCCACGGACGACGTGAAGGACCTGGAGCCGGCCAACGATCGCGTGCTCATTCGCGTGACGGAGATGGAGTCCAAGACTTCGGGGGGCGTGTTGCTCACGGACAGCGCCAAGGAGAAGCCCGTGATCGGGTCGGTGGTGGCGACGGGGCCGGGTGCCTACGGCGAGGACGGCGAGCGGAGGCCGCTGGAGGTGCAGAAGGGCAACACGGTGCTCTACTCCAAGTACGCGGGCAACGAGTTCAAGGGTAAGGACGGGACGCAGTACGTGGTGCTCAGGGTGCAGGACATCCTCGCCGTGCTCTCGTAGTTTAGACCAATTTATCCTTGTTTCGTTTCGAGAGTAGGTTTTGGTAGTTGTTGGATATTTAGATTGCAGCCGGATTCCGGTTGTCTTTTTTAGGTGACGGATACTGGTTAGGGGTGGAACTCGTTGCAGAAGAACTGCGATGGTCGTCGGAGTCATCGCTGAGGTCGTGCATTGCGAGGGTTATACTGAAATGAATGTATTGCAATGAATGAGAATGCGGCTGATGATGGCCTTTTCGCTCGATTCGATGGAGTGCGAGCTCATTGGCCCTTGTGCATTTGGGTTTTTCCGATTACGGTCCGTTCAGCACCTGGCGTGGTTTCTGTTTGGAGTGGGTTGATGTGAGTTTTTTTGAGTAGTACAGTGGATGGTGCATTTGGATGGTTGCACAGCAGGAGTGTGTTGTGTAGGATTATTTTGATTGCTATTTCTTTTTTCGTTTTTTGGAAAATGGTTTGAAGCGGATGGCTTGGAGGACCTAATTTTGTTGTAGCATAGTAGAACCGGTGGTATGTGTGTGTGTATGTGTATCATACATTTTGTAGGTGCGGTGCTGTTTTGTATGCCGTGGTTTGCACCCGAATTGGAGGCTGCAAATGCAGCCCGAGTTTGAGCGGGTAACACCGTTGTGTGGGTTGTGCGCCCGATTCTTTGGTCTCTGCAGCGGGTATTGACGGTTGTGTGCGTCATGTTGTAGCAGTTTGCGTTGTGCGTGTGTCGGTAAATGACGAGTTGAGACACTCGTTTGGGTTACATTGGACATGTGGTGTAGTCAGAGCGCATGTGAATTCAGTCGCATCGTGCAGGGGGCTCTGCCGTTCTCTGCTCTGCTCTGTTCTGCTCTGTTTTGCAGCTCTAGCCGCGGGTTGTATACGTCCGTGGGATCTTGGAAGCA